GCCCGGCTGATCAGGAACTGACTTTAGGTGCTTGTCCAGTGCCAGCTTGAAGACTGCCAGGGGTCTGTTGGTAATCCCCCTTATGTGTGCTGGGAGGCAGTTGAACAGTCTCGGGCCCCTGACACTTATTGTATGGTCTCTTAACGTGCTAGTGACACCCTGCTTTTCATTGGGGGGATGGTGCATCGTCTGCCAAGTCTTTTGCTTTCGTAGTGAGTGATTTTCGTGTGCAAGTTCGGTACTAGTCCCTCTAGGATTTTCCAGGTGTATATAATCATGTATCTCTCCCTCCTGCGTTCCAGGGAATACAGGTTTAGAAAACCTCAAGCGCTCCCAGTAATTGGGTGTTTTTATCTCCGTTATGCGCGCCGTGAAAGTTCTCTGTACATTTTCTAGGTCGGCAATTTCACCTGCCTTGAAAGGTGCTGTTAGAGTGCAGCAATATTCCAGCCTAGATAGAACAAGTGACCTGAAGAGTGTCATCATGGGCTTGGCCTCCCTAGTTTGAAGGTTCTCATTATCCATCCTGTCATTTTTCTAGCAGATGCAATTGATACAATGTTATGGTCCTTGAAGGTGAGATCCTCCAACATAATCACTCCCAGGTCTTTGACGTTGGTGTTTCGCTCTATTTTGTGGCCAGAATTTGTTTTGTACTCTGATGATGTTAGTGAATTTAAGGCCAGCAAAGGTTGGTTTGAGAGATTTAAGAATCATAGTGGCATACACAGTGTGATAAGACATGGTGAAGCTACCAGTTCTGACCCCTCCTCTCATCTCATCAATCACCAATAAATCTTCAATGAAGGTGTCATTTATTCTTCACGTATTTATTCATGTCTCATTGTTTTCTGTGTAGGAAAATGTATATTTCATGTGAAAAAAAAAAAAATTTAATACTTTTGGGTGTCTGGAACGGATTAATTGGATTTCCATTATTTCTTACGGGGAAAATTAATTCGGCTAACGATGAAATCGGTTAAGAACAAGCTCTCTGGAACGGATTAAAATCGTTACCCAAGGGTCCACTGTAGAACAAGCTCAAGCCATGTATTGGAAATAAGTCACTGACTTTTTTGGGCTATCCGAGGTTCTCTACACATATGCTGCTATGTATGATAATCTACGTAGAGAAAATAGCTTTTCGTTTCAGTTTCATGGTGCATTACGAGTGTATATCACAGTTAGCCTTGTGCTATACGTACTCTGTTTTTTCTAATATAAGCCCCCAAGACAGGGATAGGAGGATGGTACTTGTATCCCATATCCTCTTCATACCTTAGTCAAACCTCTCGGTATTATGCTAAATATTATTCTTTCTGGAGTATTTACCATGTTTTTATGCTTATATTGTTTATTATGTCATATTAGATCAATTGTGATAGGTAAATAAGCCATAGTGTTGATATTAGTGTAATAATAAAGCATATTCCCCTGCATCACGAGACTAAGCTCATGGCAACTGACAGTGGCTTCAAAGCCACCTTATCTTTTATGGACAATGAAATGTGCATGTGCTTTACACAACAAGAAGCATTTCTTTTATTTGTTGGAACCATCTCTAGGGCTAAAAGTAAGCAGGTTATAACAATATATGGAGAAAAAGAAACTGGAATGATTTATGCAGCAAGTAGAGCCACCACACAGTAGCAGCAGGTTGGTGTGGCAACCCTGGAAATTTGAAATTATGCTAGCTGAAATTAGTGCCAAATAATTGACGGAACCAGATGACTGATTGCCGGATTAATGATAGCCGACCTGTATTAGTAATTTCCTCTCATTTAAATTTTACTTTAAGAATGGTACAAGACTATCACTTTCAGAGTAAACAAAATGGTACAGGTCGGCCATCACTAATCTGGCAATCAGTTATCCGGTTCCAGCAGTAATCCGGCACTAATTTTGGCTAGCATAATTTCAAATTTCATCATTATACTGACTCAAATTTCATCATTATACTGATTCATAAATTGTGCAGATGGTTGTAAATCCACAGCAGCAAGCCAGTGGAGGAGAAAGCAGTGATGAAAATGAGGAGAATGTAGCAGAAAGAGTTGCTACTGATAGGTTCATTAACCCTTTCAGGGTCCGTCCCATAGATCTACGGCTTTACGTTCAGGGTCCAAACCGTAGATCTACGCCATGAGCTCAGCTCACTCTGATAAACTGTGAGTGGTACATTTGGGCCTAGATATGAGAGAATACATCTATGTGGTATGTGTGCACCACATAAAACAGATCCTGCAGCACACTGTGTATAATGAGAGAAAAAAAATGAAATCATGATTTTTCGATTAAAACAGCAATTTTGCAGTGTTTTTTCGTATGTTTTTATAGTTGTATTTGCGATTTCTTGGTCTCATTTGATAGAATGGAAGACATATTACAGAAATAGAGATGATTTTGATTGGTTTTTAGCACTGGAAATGGCTTGAAACTGAGCTCAAAGTAGCAGAAATGTTAAATTTTTTGCCGATATTCAAGAGTAAACAAACGACCTCACACGTCTAATACACGCCAGCTGGTGGGTCTAATATACATTCACAAATATGGTGATGATATTTATACAATTATTACAGTATTGCATAACAGTAAATCTTCTATTTTTTGGTGTGAATAAAAATTCATTATGTGAATAAAAAATCAAAATGGAATTTATTTGTAAAGCCTCAAAACATAACTAATGAACAGAGGAAATGTTAGTTTAGTGCCAGGAATGCCTACATTGTTCATTCTGGACCCTATTTTGAAATTGGAATATTTTGAACTTTGTGTTAAATTGGCCAAATTAACAATTTCCGATCACTTTATTTTGTAGTTGAAACAGTTGACTTGGCGATTTCTTGTGCTCAATCGATAGAATAGAAGTAATACTAGTGAAATAGCTAAGAATTTGGTTGATTGGAATAATGTAATTGGCCTAAAATGGGAGTCAAAGTCGGCAAAATCGCCAATTCGTAAATATCGCTGACACATCAAAATTCGCGAGAGCATAATTTCGTCAATTTTCCACCAAATTTCGTACTTTTTGTTTTATTACCTTCACAAAAAGATTCTCTACGATTTCATAAGAAAAAATAACAAATTTTTTTTTTGAAAATTCTTGGACACTGGTGCGTGACTCCAGATTTGGGCCTTGGACCCTGAAAGGGTTAAGTGTATTTTAACCTAACCACTTCGTAATCCGGCAAACTCACTAATCCAGCACACTACAATTCCCAATGATGCCGGGTTAGTGATGGCCGACCTGTACAATACAGCACTATATAGTGAATATCATGAAGCCTATATAGTAATGTAATGGCTTCTTTTTTTTAGTTATCTCAGCTTAAATCTTCATTTCCCTTTTAGAAGCATGTAAATTACTGCTTCCCATACAGTATGCTATACATATGTATTGTTACAATGTATGGTAAACTTTTCATTTTGTGTATAAAACAAACGTACAGTATCTGCTATATCCGTTAAAGGTATGAGCATCATTACTTAACCCCAGTCTGGTTTCAGACTAAGCCTCATAAACTGTTAAGGAAATGATGTACTGCATAAATAAGAATTTTCAAGAAACACTGAAAAGTAAAATTTATAATGAATGTAAAAAGATATGTGAACATTTACCTGTAATAATACATATTCATGAGACAGAAAATATCAGCAATGGAGTCAGAGTGCAAAACAGTTGTTAGGGTTTCAGTTGACACTCATATGGCAGGATGATAGTACCTCATTGTGTGACAGCTGTCTACCGACTTACTACTTGCAATAACGATTTAAAACAAAACAAACATACTATATATCAAGGTGAATGAGACATCAGTGAGTGAAATAGCTTTATTTTAATTTAAATAATTAAATCAGGATCCCTCGTAGCTCAGTGATAGCATGTCTGGCTTACAACTGATGAACCTGTGCTCAATCCTGAGTGGGGGTGGGGGGGGGCAAGACATTTATTTAAGTCTAACACCTACTGCTGTTCACCTATCATTCAATAGGTACCTGGGTGATAGCAAACTGCTGAGGGTTGTATCCTGGGAAAGTGGACCAAACAACCCCAGTGGAAATAAGCTACAATAATTGGTTTTCTTGTGTTATTTTGGGCTTCTAACCCTCTGGGATTAGTAGTCCAAATAAAATTTTCTTCTTTCAACTTTATTATTAAAAGAATTTACAATGTAGTATCTTATACATATACAATAGGTGTACAGACATACAGCACTGATTTTGCCAAAGAAAATCCATAAAAGCCATGTGGCAGTGCATGACATCAGTGGAAGTGATTGAAGAAGTAATGGATGGCCTGCAAAGGTGAATGAAAAGGCAATGGATGGCCAATGATGGTGAATGAAGTGTTGGATGGCTAGTGAAGGTGAAGAGGGAGTGGATGACCAGTGAAAGTGGACGAGTAAACAATTTTTTAAGCCTCATATATAATTTATTTTATTTAGTAAATTATATTATTATTATTATTATTATTATTATTATATAATTTATTTTATTTAGTAAATATTATTATTATTATTATTATTATTATTATTATTATTATTATTATTATTATTATGGGAAAGCCCTAAACGTGTAGGACTCATACAGATAATAGGGGGTAACTGGGTTCAATCCAAGAGAGTACAACTCCAATTCCTTGGGTAGATTCTATAGAATTTAACACAGAAAAACCTAATAAAGTCAGTGTGGCATATTTCCAATGTGGTTGTAAGGTGCCAATGAGTAATACAAGGCAACGCCAGCCTGTATCCAGATGTTTCCTTCAAGAGCTGTCCTTGGTCCCAATAAAGGCTTTCACTAGGAAAAGTGGATGACATGGGTGTAGGTGAACGTGGTCTTTGTATGGAGAAATTACTATGTTAAGATAATAGCTCTAAACCCACACGGGTCATACAATTCTGCCTATGGAGGGAACAGTGGATGTCAGCGATGACCTAACTGCATGAGAAAGAGAGAGAGAGAGAGAGAGAGGTGAGTCATCACTAAGACTCACTCACCCAGCTGCCCCAAACAACACCCTCACCGCCGTGCACTTAACCCGCTTCACCATTCTCGCTCCAACACACTCAGCTTCTCCAACTCGCCATGCTGCACCTCTTTCTTGTTGGGTTTGTAAGGGCCACTGACAGCTTATGACGTATCGAACCCTGCTACCCAGTTACCGGGGAAGATATATTGCCCAAAGCTAGGCGATGAAAGAACAGGGAACAAAAGTTCCTTATGTAAATAGAAAAAGAAATTAGAACTTCTAAAGTAAGCTAGGTGGACTCTCTTTGTCGAGCCCCGGCAGAGTAGGATGCCGCATGCTGCATCTTTTCGAGAATAACTGGGCCTCTATTCATCAAACAGAACTGTTTGCCATACTCCTTGCATTGAAATGCGTCCATGTATCTAAGATTGACACTTTAATTGTAAATGATTCTCTGTCATCCATAAATGCTCTCAACTCATTAAGTATAAACTGTGGCATGCTTGTGTCAGAAGCCAGACACAGGTATGGTAAGATTGTGGACAGTGGAGTCAGAGTGCACATGCTGTGGATTCCATCTCACATTGGTCTTCAGATGCATGATAGAACTGATAAATTGGCTAAGCTGTATGCTTTCAAAGAGGGAGTAGATTACAATCTTGGCTTGTCAGTTAGCAGTTTGAGAACAATAATACGAAAAGAACTTCAACTGAATTTTATTGACTTAAGACTTAGGAAGATTGACACAAGTCAGTCCATCTATCATCATTCCATCATGCAGGAGGAGCCACATGTCTATGGTGCATCCAACAAGATAAGCAGACTCTTGGATGTCACTACCGCCCGGCTCCGGCTGGGTTACAAGTATCTTTGGCAGGTTAAATCACCACCACCAGATGTAGTCCAAACGAAATGTAAACTTTGCCAGATGGACTATTGTCACACCTTGCGTCATTATGTACTGGAGTGCGATAAAATTAATGAATTTAGAAACAACTCACTCAGAAATGTTCAAGAAATGGCTAAGTATTTTATCCACAGTGGTATATTACAGACCATTTTGGAGAAATACCCTGACTTTGCTAGCTGTAAATAAAGCATTACCACGTGTGTGTGTGTGTGTGTGTGTGTGTGTGTGTGTGTGTGTGTGTGTGTGTGTGTGTGTGTGTGTGTGTGTGTGTGTGTGTGTACTCACCTCACCTAATTCACCTAATTATGGTTGCAGGGGTCGAGACTCAGATCCTGGCCCCGCCTCTTCACCGACCGTTACTAGGTCCTCTCTCCCCCTGCTCCATGAGCTTTATCATACCTCGTCTTAAAACTATGTATAGTTCCTGCCTCGACTACATCGCTTGCCAGACTATTCCACTTCCTAATTACTCTATGACTGAAGAAATACTTCCTAACATCCCTTTGACTCATCTGTGTCTTCAGCTTCCAATTGTGACCCCTTGTTTCTGTGTCCCATCTCTGGAACATCCTGTCTCTGTCCACATTGTCTATTCCACGCAGTATTTTGTATGTCGTTATCATGTCTTCCCTGACCCTCCTGTCCTCCAGTGTTGTCAGACCGATTTCCCTTATTATTATTATTATTATTATTATTATTATTATTATTATTATTATTATTATTATTATAAAAAAAGCGCAAAGCCACAAGGGCTATACAGCGCCGATTTCCCTTAACCTTTCTTCATAGGACATTCCCCTTAGCTCTGGAACTATCCTTGTTGCAAACCTTTGCTTTTTCTCTAATTTTTCAGGGTTTTTTGACCGGTGTGGGCTCCAAATGGTGCTGCGTACTCCAGTATGGGCCTGACGTACACAGTGTATAAAGTCTTGAACGATTCCTTACTGAGGTACCGGAACGCTATTCTCAGGTTTGAAAACGCCCATAGCCGCGCAGTTTTGGGTTTTAAGTGTGCTTCTGGCGAGTACTCGGTATTATACTCATCCTAGGTTTTTCCCTTGGTGGGTTTGCACCCTTGGCCACCACCCTATACTCTGTCGCAGTTTTTCTTTCCCTTTCCCTCCAATCTTCTGACTTTGCATTTGGCGGGGTTTAAATTTTAGGACCCAGTTTCTGGACCACACATCCCCCTGTCCGGGTTTCTTTGTAGACCTGTCTGGTCTGGTTGTTTTTAAATTCTCCCTCATTAACTTCAGTTTTCTCCAAACGGGGACACTTCGAGTCTATCCCTTTCCGTCATGTCGTTCCATATCCCAAGAATAGCATGGCCCCAGGGGCCCCCTGTGGGACCCAGCTGTCATGGCGCCCCTGTGTTTACCTCATACGGACCAGACTCGCTGTTCCCTTCCTGGTGGTTTTCTTGATCCTTTGCAGGGCCCTTTCCCTGTTTTACGTCCCTTTTCCCTCTAGCTTCTGATAATCTCTTGTGGGAAAATGTGCAAAGGGCCCTTTCTTGCGCCCAAGAAAATGCAATCAACCCCCCCCCCTCTGATTTCTTACTTCAGTTCCCTTTGTCATAAAACTCTAGTGGGTTTGTGCACGGATTTCCCTTCCTGAATCCGTGCTGGCTGTCGTTTTTCTTGTTCCGCCCCCAGGTGCCCCACCATTTCCCCTGATAATTTTTCCAAGATTTCCTACTATAATGTCAGTGACATGGTCATAATTTGTGCTTCATTTTGTCTCCCTTCTTAAAGAGGGGGGACTACATTTCCCTTTCCCCCCAACTTCAGGTAGTTCCCCAGTTTCAGGGAAGTATTAAAGTTTTTGGGTTTAGTGGCAACATGTGTCCCGTTCCCCCTTAAGGCCCCACAGAGAGAGCCCGGGCCCCACCGCCTTTGAGGTATCAAGGTCACTTGGAGCTTCTCACCTCCTCTCAGTTGTATGTAAATTTATCCCCAAAATTTTTTGGGTTTTTCCTTGTTGCTATATGCCACTTGTGGAAAATATTTTAAGTTTCCAAAATTAGTGCCTAATAGGTGTTTAAGTGTTTATATGGGTCAAAAAAAATATTCAATTCAATTCAAAATTTATTCTCTATAAGGTTACAATCTGAGTTTACGAAATTTGGTTCTTGTTTGGTTTCAGTAGTAAAATTTTGATTACAGAGTGTACCACTAAACGCTTAGCATGGCGGCATTTCGGGGATACTTTTTTATCTTAATTGTAAAAATTTCAAATTATGAGGGAGTTGGATTATGGAAGGACTAAATATGTTTGTGAGTTTAGCAATGTGAAGTTTTATTTTGGCAAGTACATAGTTTCAGTATTGGAGTATCACAGGATTCATTATTTTAAGATTAGATTAATTATTTCTGTTTATGGTCAAATGGGTGAGTGAGTGTAAATGTGAACCACAGGTGGTATTTGTGTAGTTAGTTGAGGGGGTGTATCAGGGAGATAAGATGTTTTCTAATGGTATTTTTGAAGGTGATGAATGTGTCTGCAGTTCTAGATTTCTCAGGTAGAGTGTTCCAGATTTAGGGCCTTTGAATACATTGATTTTGTAAAGGTTTTTTAGTCGGACACGGGAATGTCGTAGAGATGTTTGTGTCTGGTGTTATGCCTATGGGTTCTGTCACAACTATCAAGAAAGCGTTTTAGGTCAAGGTTGTATTGGAGTTTAAGGTCCTGTAGATGTAGATTGCACAGTAGTAAGTGTGGATGTACTGAACAGGGAGTAATTTTGGGATTCTATGAAGAGTGGGGTGTGTGCTGCCAGGGATGGGTTTTTAGTGATTATTCTTACTGCAGCTTTTTGTTGGGTTATTATTGGCTTTGGGTGTTGTTGCTGCAGTTGATCCCCAAGCACAAATAGCATAGGTGAGGTATGGATAAATGAGTGGTATAGTGTGAGAAGGGCATTTTGCGGCACGTAGTATCGTATCTTGGAGAGGATCCCAACCGTTTTGGATACCTTTTTGGTTATGTGTTGAATATGGGTGCTGAAATTCAGGTTGTTGTCAAGGTATAGGCCTAGGAATTTGCCCTCATTATGTCTGGTAATTAGAGTGTTGTCAATCTTAATGTTAATTTGTGCATCTCCTGCTCTGCTACCAAACATAATATAGTAGGTTTTGTCAGTGTTAAGCGTAAGTTTATTGGCTGTCATCCAAGTCGATATTTTGATCAGCTCCTCAGGGTGGCAAGATTAGGGTGAGAGATGACATAAGTCGTGTCGTCAGCAAAGAGAATGGGTTTCAGGCATTGGGATACGTTTGGAAGATCATTATGTATATGAGGAAGAGCAGGGGACCAAGGACACGTCCCTGCGGAACTCCAGTATTAACTGGCCGTGTTGTTGATGCTGTGTCTTTAATGGTGACATACTGATACCTATTAGTAAGGTAAGATTTGAAATAAGCAAGCGCATGGCCTCTTATACCGTAATGGTCAAGTTTGTGGAGTAGGATGTCGTGGTCTACTGTGTCAAAAGCTTTTCTTACCTGGAGTTTACCTGGAGAGAGTTCCGGGGGTCAACGCCCCCGCGGCCCGGTCTGTGACCAGGCCTCCTGGTGGATCAGAGCCTGATCAACCAGGCTGTTGCTGCTGGCTGCACGCAAACCAACGTACGAGCCACAGCCTGGCTGATCCCGGAACTGACTTTAGGTGCTTGTCCAGTGCCAGCTTGAAGACTGCCAGGGGTCTGTTGGTAATCCCCCTTATGTGTGCTGGGAGGCAGTTTTTAACAGTCCGGGCCCCTGACACTTATTGTATGGTCTCTTAACGTGCTAGTGAACTCTGCTTTTCATTGGGTGGATGGTGCATCGTCTGCCAAGTCTTTTGCTTTCGTAGTGAGTGATTTTCGTGTGCAAGTTCGGTACTAGTCCCCCTAGGATTTTCCCGGTGTATATAATCATGTATCTCTCCCTCCTGCGTTCCAGGGAATACAGGTTTAGGAACCTCAAGCGCTCCCAATAATTGAGGTGTTTATCTCCCTTATGCGCCGCCATGAAGTTCTCTGTACATTTTTAGGTCGGCAATTTCACCTGCCTTGAAAGGTGCTGTTAGTGTGCAGCAATATTCCAGGGTAGATAGAACAAGTGACCTGAAGAGTGTCATCATGGGCTTTGGCCCTCCCTAGTTTTGAAGGTTCTCATTATCCATCCTGTCATTTTTCTAGCAGATGCGATTGATACAATGTTATGGTCCTTGAAGGTGAGATCCTCCCAC